AGAGTGGGGGGGCGGGGGGGGGGGGGGGGGGGGGGGGGGGGGCGCTAAATTTTCTCAAGTAACTATGTTGGTGGCCGGTGAATACCTTATTTTGACTAAGATAAACTAGATATAAAGATTTTGTACTGCAACAAGATACGAATTGACTATCCTCTGAAACCATAGTAACTCTAGTACCATATAACTCAAGCCAAATTTCTTCATAGCCTACAAGCGCCTCTCTTGCCTTGCTCCAACTCCAACTGTCAAATAATCACAAGAGAACTCTGGAACGAGTCCGTTTCAAGTTGCATAAATGTGCCTTTGCGATTTGGTTTGATGGTTTTGTAATAGCCGATAAATATCGACTTGAAGTGTGAGGTTTTGCTTGCTTTCATTAAAAAAAAAAAGAAAAAAAAATATTCAAGTATAAAGTATGTTAGTACCATTGGTTGGCACCTCAAGCTAAACACTAATGCATCATTGAGAGTAGGCAAAGTATTATATCAACAAGGGATGTCGTTAGAAACCATTTCGGAGTAGTGATGGTCGCGCAAAATAACAAAGCTTATGAGCCGCTGTCATACGAGATGGCCTGACCATATGAACTAATGAAGTTATCGAATAGTTAGATAGGTCATGTGACAATATCATCTTCAGCTGGCAAATTGTAATACAACATACTAATTTCTATCTACATAAGAAAAGAAAATACCGTGTTGAAAATTGTATCTCTAATGTCAAATAAATCAGATAATTGCGTGGGCAAATCAACTGTATTACTAATTTATAGTTGATTTTCATTTGGGTACCTTTTTGCTTTTTGCCAGTTCCTGCAAGGGTGGTCAGTCAGTCCGGATATCTTTTAAAGTGCAATTTCAGCAGACAAGAAAATAAAATAAAAGCAGAATTAGTTGTAGAAAGAGAAAGACGAAAGAGAGAATCCCAAAGCCAAATAAAAGTTAATTTCAATAATGGCCATCGAACTTTGTATTTTGTGTCACATTGAGTGTTAAACTTTAACCTGTCAAGTCATTTGAATGACAAATTTTCGACCCTCCCCCACCACAAATGGTAAACGGAGCAGGAAAAGTGAACATAGTTCCCTCATCGAATTTCTAAAACCCTTCTTAATTTTATTTTTATATTTTTCAATTTAAATTATTTTTTAAAAGAATAAGTGCTTGTTTGATAAGGATTTTGATAATTAATTTCCTGATCATTAGAGATAAAGTGACTCCTATCTGTAAGAAATGAATTAAAAAATGATATCTGAAATAGTGAAATAACGATAAAAAAATTGACTTTAATTATCTTAAAATATAAACCAAACAAGCTCTAAACAAATAATTAAGCAATGAGGTAAAATGGTTATTTAATCCCTGCTTTGCTCTTTGATAATTCCTGACGGGAATTATTGCCATCTCTACCAAGTTATAAGATTTAATCGAAAATTCTAATTTTGATGGTTTGATGACTTGGCACATAAAAAAAGAATAATGCTCTTTGGACACAATCAGTGACAGGGATGGAGGTAACAGGGTGGTGTGGAAGACACTAATTTTTTTTTTTTTTTTGCAAACTGTCCGATCATGTATTAAGATGTAGCCCCTCTATCATTAAACTTGTCATTGAGTCTGTTAATGTAGAAAGATTGAATAAAATTTAAGTTGGATATTAAGCCCCTATTTGACAATCATTAATTGGAGAAAATATAGTTTTGAACAATATTTTTTGGAAGAATGTGATGTTAAAAAGTAGGAAATTTTTTTGAATTTACTTGTAAAATATTTAATTGTATAAATATGTTGTTGAAAATGGGTATATAAAAAAAGTTTGAAAATAATAATTGTCAAACAAGAACTAAATTGAACCTCTAATTAATATGAAATGGGGGCTAAAGTTTAATGATAGGTCTTGGAATTTAGTGATTAAAGTGACATCAAGCACAAAGTTCAGTGACCATCAGTAAAATTAAACCTATATCTATAATATGGAAATAGACCCGAGAGGGGGGTGGGGTAGAGAGAGAGAGAGAGAGAGAGAGAGGAGAAACGGAAAATGTGTATATTATGAGGCACACACCAGATATGCGGTAAATTACACGCAAAAACACACAGAGTCCAGAAAGAATTTTACT